TTTTGTGCTGGAAGTCTGTATCTTGACAATTTTAATAAATCAGCTGGAACTGATAGAAACTCGCATCGCCAATAGTCTCTATGGAAGTCAAACTGGAGGTCCTGTTGTCGCAGAGCATTCGGCGGTGAGGCTGTTGTGTGCGCGGATGCGGGGAGGCGGCAGGAGAGGATTCTACATTGATGGGGTTAGGCTGAAACGTGTTCTATCGGCAGGCCGATTTCTTTTTCTTTCGCTGGTTGTGAAAGACTGGGGAAGGGTGTTCTTTCTCTCTGCCTTCCCTTCCCATCCCCAGCTCCCCATTTCTTATTTCACCTCCTCCTCCACTCCCTGCCTTTTCTCCCCACCCACCCTGGCGGGCGGGCAGCGCGGAGGCTCGGGCGCTGGCCGGGGAGGGGCGCATGGAGGGGACTGGGTTGCTAGCTCGCTTCGTCGGGGTCCTGTGCGCAGGGGCTGGTGTGTTCTCCGCGGCGGGCCGCGTCCCCGCAGGGCCTCGCGGTGACAGCCGCCCTGGGCAGCGAGCACTCGGGGCACTTCTATCCCCGCCTCTCAAAGGGTGGGGACAGCCGTTTACAGATTTGAATTTTTTTTTCCTGTTCTTTATTTTTAACGCTGCATCTTCGCGTGCTCCGAGGTGGTTGTTGGCGGGGAACGCGGCCGCAGTTTTTGACCTCTTAGCGGTGAAGGGGAAAGAGGAGGAAAGGAGAGAGGTGGTCTGTGTCGGTTTCCTTCTGTCCCCCGGGGACGTGGAGCTGTCGGAGGGAAGGAAGACGGTGCGGGGCCGCTGGGAGCGCGGGGCGCGGCGGGACTGAGGCTGCGAGCTGGTGGGAGGCGGGAGTGGGGGGAGGACGCGGCAGGCTGGCCGGGGGCACCCCGAGGAACATGGCAAGGCCTCTGTGCCATCCTAGTCGCGGCCTCCGGGGTGCCTGGCAGGGCGGAGCCACTGGTGAGCGCGCGGGGAGCAGGGGGTGGCCGAGGGGGCCTGGGCGGTGGCCCGGGACGCACCAGTCAGAGCCCTGCGGCCCGGAGTCCCAGTCCTCGCCACCGCGTGCTCCTGGGCGCGCCCCGCCGCGGGCCCTGGAGGCGCCTGGAGACTCCAGCGCTGACGTCCCGGGCCCGCGCGCCGGGGAGGGAAGCCTCGGGGCTGCGGGGTGAGAGGAAGAAAGCAAACTCCGGGACCAGGAGGCCGCCGCCCCCGCACGCCCGGCGCCCTCACCACGCCCTCCCCGCGCTCCCGCTCTGGGGCTGCCCCGGAGCCAGCTCCCCGGGGGCGGCCGCGACAAAGGTGGCTCGGCATCTCGATTGTTCTCCGGGAGCCTCCTGGGGGCTCGGGCCGTGGCGCGGGCGCGACCTACTCCGCTGGAGCTCCCTGCTCGCTGGGCACGGCGCGCCTGCCCACACCCCCTCGTTCCCCACCATTTTTCCTGACCCGCCCTTGTCCCCGAGCCCTCGCGGCATGCCCTGGCAGGCGATCGCGGCCGGACACGCGTGCCCCGGGCTCCCGCCCCCGTCCCGAGCCCCCGCCGCCTCTTTTCCCGGGGGCCGGGCGGAGGTAGACTGGGAGGCCGCTCCGGGCCCCGCGCGCCAGCCCCGGAGTTCCGCCTCCCGATCTGCGGCGCCTGCAGCGGAGGAGGTTTGCAGCGGCTAATTGAAACTTGCTGCACAATCACCACGACTCTTTCAGCTACTGAAATGAGTGACCGAGGTTTGGACTTCCATTTTTACTGAGATTTGGCAAGACCGAATGGAAGCGTCCATACGGTGATTGCAGCTGCTAGGCCAGAGGGGCCCCGGCGCCCTTCCTGCCTCCCCTCCCGCTAGCTTTCGCTCTGCTGGAGCAGCCCCCCAACCCAACCCCCCGCCCCCCGACTGCGAGCTCTGGCCTCTCCTCCGCCCCCGCAGCCTCCAGCTCCGGGCCTGCCTCCTCCTCAGCCCCCACCCCTGGGATGCGAGGCCAGCCAGCTTTTGCTGCAGATGGACAGGTTTCTTTTCTGTGGCTTTTTCCTTTCGGTGAACCATCAGATTTCAGTAGTACACTTGGGAAAAGAAGGGGCTAATGGCGTTAACCAGGTTCTCAGTATAGAACTGGATTTCTGGAGTTGTTTACCTCCCCCCCCCACCCTCTAGACATGTAGACTAAGGCAGCCATTGGTCGTACAACTTATTTTAGCCACGAATAATTGAACCAGCGGTTTACAATTGGCACTTGCTCTGTGCTGGTGATTTTATGTGGCAGCCCTCTGCTGCAGTTCCGAAACTTGTTGACAACGCAAACCCATCGATAAAGATGATCTATGTATTTTGAAAATCTGAAAACTTGGCATGTCTTTTATGTTTTCATCATAGATGAATCTTTGGACTTTTTCTGTGGTGAGGTGGAAACTTTCAGTAAATTAGTCAAGTAATAATTTGGCCTCAGAATGGGAAGAGATAGTCATTTTTTTTTTTAAGTCTTGTGGCGTAACTTGACAGAAAAATAAAAGTAATTGGTTGGCACTCTAAATTTAAAACCTGTTAGAACTCAGGACGGGCTCTTGAACGCGCTTTTAACAATATTCAAAGCTGTTTTGATGAGTACATTGTGAGAATCATTCTTAATGAATTCTTTATTGAATGTCTAAAACATATAATACACAAGGTATTCTTGCCACTGGATAGACTTCAATAAAAGTTTAATTGATTTTTTTTTTGTTGGTCTCTTAAGTAAGTCTTATTTTTAACTAAGCATTGACAGAATATCTTAAAATGGTAAATTGGGGGCGGGGGTTGGGTGCCGTGTGCTCGGCAGCCTAGCCAGTGGGGATCCTGCTGTTTATTATAAGTAGTTCACAGACTCTGATGGCATTTTGGTAAGCTTTCCATCTTTAAGAAATTGAACCAGCATTCTCTTATTAATTCCTTAAACTGTGGAAGTAATTTCCAGTTCTTATACTCTGATATGCATCCCTTTTATTAAAAAAAAATGCTAATAAAAGGCAGTGTACTTAAACAGTGCTTTGCAAATATTATGTATGTTATGAATGGCTACAGACACTGGGCAAATTATTTGTAGAATGATGATCCTTCGCGAGAAAAAAAATCATTACAACTCTTTTGGGCACAGAACTTTCTTTTTAATGTTAATCAAGGGGAAGTGATTTAAATATGCATGAATGTAGCAGTCAGGGTGATTTAGTTGTTTTTTTCGTGAAAGAAAAAGACTCAAAAGACAAGACATTTTTCTCTTCTCTGGGAATTGAAATCATAATCATCTGATATTAATACAGTACAAGAAATTTACATTTGTTTTTTACTTCAGAATTTAAGTGACTTTTGCCCAAGGAATTTGAAAAATAAGGCAAATAAGTTGCTCTATTTTAAAGTAGTCATTCAATATAAATATATTATATCAATCTTAACTTTTTTATTCTCTGATATGATTAATAATATGTATATTCTTACTTTTCTTCTAATGGGCATATGTATCCTTGTGGACACTTTGAGAGAGGTTTTCTTGAACTCTCCCATTTATAGAATCTTTATACTCTTTTACTGTGTGGTTCCCTGCTTTTAACAGATTTCTGAGGCAAATATATTTGTGCTTTTTTCTTATGTAGGAAGACCAGCGAAAATAGTTTACTGAGTTGTCAATTTTATCAGTAGATAAGAAACTTTCTTTATTACAGTTTCAGGGAAGATTTTTTCAGGATATTTCTCAGTTATTCTAAGGGCCAAATTTTATAAAATTTCCACTAGGAATGTCAGTTTCAATTACCCTTTGTATAGCCTAAGCCTGTGAGGATGACAGGAATGAGCCTTACCTATCCTAACACAGGAATTTACAAGTTCCCAAAGTAACTGTCTCCATGTAACTCTTGACATGCTTTTCTGAGATTTGGCTTATTTTTATTATTGGTTCTTTCTCACTGTTCATTCTATTTGATTTATTCTGCAACATCCCCTTTTATTTGATGATCTGGAAAATTCTGCTCTTTTATAACAA